TTGGACACTTAACGTGCCAAGTTAGCAATCTTTCAACGGAAGGACCATTTGGGTTCCAGAAAAATGAAGTTAAAGGACAACTTGGGTGCTTTCATTTGTTAAAGGACGAACTAAGTTTTAAAATGAAAGTTTAAGGACCAAATTGGGTATTAAACCTATTTTTATTTAATTTTTTAGTCTTTCACGCTTTTTTATGCAGAATTTCCGCCTACAATATTTGATTTTTTGATTCCCTACTTCAAAATTTTGAATTCCCTCATTAATTAATTTGTTATCTTACTTTAATATATTTTATTTTTTTTACGGGAAATGACGGAGACAGAACAAGACATCTCTGTCTTAACCCCTCTGCAAATTGCAATTCCCCATTTGCATGCCTCAATCTTGACACCCCCTTTGCATACTCTCTCCTCCCCCTCCTCCTCCTATCCCTTCCTCATTCGGGCCTTCGAATATCTGCCCCCCTCAATTCGGATCCCTCTTCCTCACCCGCATTTCCTGTGCTTTTACTTCAGTGGGGGAGCTTCCTGAGAATGTACTCGGCGATTCGGTTGCTGCCGTTGGATGGGACGATGGGCCATGGTGGGGAGTACCAGGGCTCGCTTGACAGGACCAACTTACCTGGAGATGCCTGCTTGGTTCTCACCACGGATGCTGGACTGCCGACCTTCACGAGCGCTTCGTTGATGCTGTTACCCAGCTTGGTGGTCCTAAAAGTGAGTTTGTCCATTTCTCAGTCATGCGTACCTCATTCTCTCATCATTCTTCCTTCATCTCCGATATCTGCTTGCCTTTCCGCCATTGATAAGCCATTGTGAAATGACGGTTGAAACCCGAAACCGAAACTAAAACAACCGAAATTGAAACAACCGAAACCGCAAAAATTATAACATTCGGGTGCAGTTTTCGGTTTCTAAAATTAAAAAACCGATATCTCAATTAACCGATATCTCGGTTTCGGTTACAACCGAAACTGCCCGATGCCCACCCCTAGTTCAACTTCAACCCTCTCACATCACAACAATATTAAGTTATTAACACTTACCGAACCATTTCTTACCGTTAAAAAGCTATTAGTGCTCCTTTCATGCTTTTTCGTTTTCTACCAAATGCTTTTTCGTTAAAAAGCTATTACCGTTAAAAGTTATTAACAATATTTATTATACTTTTAATATGTACTTTTAAAATACAAATTAAATAAACTCTTTTTAATATCAAAACTCAATCTCTTAATAATTAAAACATCTTTTAAAAGAATGTTGACATATTATTTAATAATTAGAAAAGTGATTAACGATATATTTAAAGCAATCAATAGCGAAATAAAAGATGGTCCTTCTATATGTGGGGTGGTCCCTTCAACCATCAATGGTCAATATTTTCTCTTAAATAATACTCCATCCTCAACCGTTCACAAATTTCTTGTTAATGTAATTCCCCATGTTTTAAAAGCAATTTCACAATTCGTGATTTAAAGGACAATTTCCCATGTAAGTTAGATAATCCCTATAAAAATTTATGATTTTAAAGAACTATACCTCTCATGGTGGAGTTATGGAGTCAAAACTTTTCTTAAACATCCAACCTTTGTTAATAAGGCAGGTAGCAAAGAAGTCCTGCTTGCAAACAGTGTAGTGTGCAGGATACTTGCATAAAGGAAACAAGTGCCTGAGTTATCTCATCCATAAATCAAATAATATAGTAACCATTCAATAGCTTTGTATATCTTACAAATGCAACCACAAACTGTCCTTATTTCTCTTATATTAAAAATGTTTTTACTGGAGGTTCTAACAAACAAAATTGAACACAATGTCATTCTTCAAATTGATGCTTTTAAAGGGAGAAAAAAAATCTAGTAAATATGCTGAATATTCCTGATTTCTTTCCAAACCTCAAGCAGCATTTGGACACTGTCACCAAGTTCTTTGACCTACCCTGAGGAGTCCTCAGCTTACTTCTTCAATAATGGAGAGTATAGGGTTCCCCAATTAACAAACCTACTTAAAATTTTAACTTTCACGATTCTCTAACTTGATATCAGAGCACAAGATCTTTGGTTCAAACAATTTACGATTTTGAAACACTTAAGCCCAAAAGAATATCCCCTATGTTAATCAACCTTATATCATCATGCACAAAGTCCATAACGTTTATATTAGTCCAAACATTTACATCTCAAATTTTATAAGGTCTACATGATCCCTACAAGGTTACATCTGTATATAAAGGAAAAGAATTCCTCTTGGCCCTTGGGTCACATCAAATCAATGAGGAATAAAATGCCAATAAGGGAAAAGACAATAAAAAAAA